CACACACACACACACACACACACACACACACACACACACACACACACACACACACACACACACACACACACACACGCACACACACACACTACCCTGTTCATGCCTCTAAACATTCATCCTTTGTATTTTTGCCTTTTCTCTTTTGGAGCGTCTAATGAGTCTCTCTCCTTTGTCCCCTTCGTTCTGCTCCTCATTATTTTCCCCGACATCTTTACCGCCATCATCCCCCTCTGCATGTACAACTTGCCCTTCCTCGCTCTCAGAAATGCAATTAATCACATAGGCTGATGTGCTACACCCTTCGAGTTTCTTATTCTTTTCCCTCTGCACATAATGCAATAGTCTCATCATATCGTCTGAGTTTTCATTCACCTCGCCTGCAAGTTCTATACACACACCTGCTTGCATCCCCTTCGCAACCGCATCCTCCACTGAAGGAATGAGACTCTCCATTTGCGATGCCCCTTCGTTTCCCGCCTGTGTCACAAGCGGAGACCCATATGATTCAACATTTGATTTTTGTTCGACCGCCAGAGACGCAGGAGCTCCCTTGACACCCATAGTCGTCCGCTCTCCATCTCCTTGAAGAAGGTTGTTTCCCTTCCTTGTGTCATTTGCTGCGACACGCGTTTGACTTAGCGCTTCTTCTGCACTCACTGCAAATTTAGTCTGTGACATTGCCGCAAGGTGAGAACATCCCACAGGAATGCTATCGAGCCCGTGGCATGTGAGAGGCTGTTCGATTTTCCAATCGATTTTGTTATGCGACCGGCTTGATGGAAAGTAGTAAAACTGATGCTTGTACTCTAAGCGATTGTTGGAGCGTAGAGAGTCGAACAACGATTGAGCCTTCGCGCAGATAACGGTTTCATCGACACCATGGTTTTCCTTCCTAACGCGTAACACAATTTCGCCGTTTGTGGTTTTCAACCATGAATCTTCTACCATCCTGGGTTTGACTTTCCAGTCGTCCCTCAGATGCAGTGTCATTGTCCACTTCCCCTCGTTAATGCACCGTTCGAACACATCTGGGTGCCACAGTATGTGATGCTCTCACTTCTCTGACGACGTCTCTTCCCCCGCGTCATGAAATAAATAGGGCGAGGTGGAAACGTGCATGATGCCTTGTGGAATATCATCACCGGGCGGCAACTTCGGAAAGACAGCTGGAACAGCCAAGTCATCCTCGTCAGCATTTTGAAGTTCTTGCACGTCGTTCATTCTCATCCCTCCAGACATTTGTCCGATGAACCTTTTCTCTCCTTGATACCCGTAGCGATTGTCGTGAAGCAGGACGTTCATTACGGATTGAACGGGTGTCGGTGAATCCTTTGTTTGGGGTTCTCGTTTTGCACGCTGCCGTCTAGAACATTTTGCACTCCCTCACGGCCGCGCGCACCTTCTCGCGAACGTTTAACCCGTAGGTCGATTTCAAGGTCCGAGGTCTCTGTCTCTTCATCGCTGTCAATCGGATTCCATGCATCGGTTCTACGTGCGACGTCACTGTACGTCAACTTGCTGCAACGTCTCATAAACTTCAGCTCTTCGCATCACGCCACAAACAACGCGAATGCCCTCACCTCCGCCTTGTGGTAACCATCATATGCTTCTTGTGCCATCGCTTTACAATATATGAAGTCGTGCTGGAATGCAGTATTGGGGTCGCCCTGAAACAAAGTACTCCCACATTTTTTCTCTCTTCTTCCCCAACTTGTGGTACATGTCCCTGTCCGAGCGTTGTGTGCTCTTATGTTTCTCGATGGTACAATCGTTTCTCGGATCCTTAGCGAGTATTTCGATGACCTTTGTCAAGTATGTGATGTTTTTCGACGATGCATCACACACAAATACATGGTTCCCTGCGCGCAAAAGCTCCCACGCAAGGCCGGCATGTGACTTCCCAAGGACTATAACCCGTTCGTCCTCATGCAGAAATGAACTGCATAAGGTTTGTAACCGGTGTGACTCTCATTCCCAACGCCCATACTCCTCTTTTTCGTTGCCTTCATCACCGCCATGCTTTGTTGCACACCTCTTAAAATATTCTTCCACGACGTTTACTTCCACAATGTCCGCTTCTGAGCGCGGCACTCTTGTAACCTTTTTAGGTCGCCTCCCTTGGCATGCAGGACGATCGCCATCGTGTCCTTACTCTCAATTTGCATATTGCCATACTATTCACAGTCGTTCCGACCCCCATAAAGCGCTTCCAAGTGTCTGGTATCACCTCGACGTTCTCCCAGTTGTAGAGGTGTCGCATGACGGTCTTCTATTGTTTCTGTGGCGCGAAGGCGATCAATGTTCAATTCTCGCCGCACAATTTTGACATCATTTTGTATAGAGCGTAGAAGTCCTCCGGTGACCACGCAGAGCAATGCGACGGCATTGCGAGATCCAAGATGGTGACCTTGCAATTGAGGTTCGTGGTAGCGGTAATGACTTCGTCTTGCGTATGCAGCAACTCCTTTGGGTACATATTGATCGTCAGCAATGTTGCTCGTCGCCCTTTCCATTCCCACAACAGGTGAAGCGCAACATTTGACAATCGCCGCATCTCTGCCGTGAGCAAATCCACCTTAAGGTTTCTTATCGCCAGGTACACGAAGACCTTAAAATGAAAGGGCATATCTCTATACAATGCCTCTGTGGCCTTCAACCCTGCTCCTTTCAGCCCTTTCAATTCTTGGTCGCCACCAAGTCCTTTTGGAAACTTCCTAACGTACTCTAAAGGGATTCTATCCCTTTCCTCGTCCCATGCTTCCGCCGTAACACTGAACCTCTCTGTCATGTCCTTGTAATCGAAGAAGAACTCTTGGTTCCAGTCGTCCTTCTCTCTGTTCTCCGATTTGAACACGATGTCGTTGAAGAGTCGCATCATATACCTCTCGGGCATGATAATGTTGAGGAGGTTGTTCATATTCAACTTCCCCGTAGGAACCTGTCTAGCGGTGGCTATGACCTTCTTGTTGATCATCAGCCTTAATGCGACTTCCTTCTCTCGCGCCGTCATATCTCCAAAGCATTTAAAGTTCGACGAAACGGAATCTTTAAAGGTGACTTTGGCTCCATGCCCCCCGTCCTTAGCCTCGATGCAATGGAACACCTCCTTTTTCTTATTTTCATCTTCCGTATACTGCCCCGGAAGCTTCCCCTCTTGCCCCCCCACCATATCTTTAGGGAACTTGCCCTCGCAAAGTGGCAACTCTCCTGCTTCAAACTTCTAAAAAAACTCCTTCACCAATGACCATATCCACTTCTTACACGTCGCGACGTTCATGTATCCTCTCATTCAGTTTGACCAGTCCGGCTGCCACTTCGGATGCAAAACCGCAGTCCAAAGGTTTTTTTCACATGACCAGCCCATGCAAAGCCGCATGAATTCCTACCACTTCTCCTGATGCATTTTACCGCTGGCATCGTTTTCGAATACCTTGTAACCCACCGGCTCGATTTCTTTCTTCAACACCTAAAAATCTCGTATGTCTTCACAGGCCTGGTGAAACGACGGTAACATGGCATGGTCACCTCTCGTGTTGTCGTATGTTGAAACGAACGAATACCCGTGTTTGTGATCGTTGTCAAAGTACACAACGCGCATGAAGTAATAATCTCGCAAACCGTATATGTCAATAGCAGGAGATTTCCTCATTACTGCTCTTTTTATGACCTCTGAGGTGTGCTGCCCAGCAACCGGGTAATAGGAGTATTCCTTCACACGCCTCCAATCAAAGTCCTTCGGAAGAACACGTGTTCCTTGGACATCGGGCTTATGCGCACAAGGCGTAATTGGAGCGAGTATCAACTCCGACGGTTCCCACGGAGCAGGATCATTCACACCCCTTTGAGCAATTGACCTATCAATTGCTGCATCGAGACCTGCAACAATTGCCTTATTCAGCGACCGCTGGTTGAATGCGATATGCCCCTTGAGAATCGGAAGAATCGACATGACATCTATGTAAACCCTTGGCACATATTTTGTTTTCCTGCCGTCTTCATCGTACTCGAGAAAGAAGCATCATGTCATGTCGACCGCACGGGGCCTCTTCGTTTCCGTTTCGTCCTCGGCAAAGAGGTCAGACCGACGAGGGTCCACCCCTTCGGCGTCGCCGCTTGAATCATCTGACTTGGGGCGCCTTGATGAGCGTGCAACCCTCTTAGGTTGCGATGTTTTGCGAATACGGCTGCCTTCTTTGCGTTTCTTCGCGACTTCGCCAACCGTTTCCTGTGATGCATCAAAGGCACATCGAGCATCATCCACAACAGTTACTACTTTTCTGGCTTGTTTCTTCTTAGCCATGGGTGTAAGGGATGCATCTGCTTTCCGTTTACCCCAACTCTTTGAAGCTCCACCCGTTGCTACATCGCCGTCCCCTCCATCGTCGTCCATTTCCTTAGTTTGCATTCGGTCATTTTGTTCCCTGTCATTATGTGGCCCACCACTCGACGCACCTATTTCACTTTCCATGCCACCTGATAATGCACTTAAACTGCCACCTACAAAACATCCCTCTTGGCGCTGGCCGCTGCTGCCGTGTTCCGTATCCTGTTCCTCATCCGAACAATCGTTTTCACGTTGATCACTGTAACCGGAACGTTCTTCGAGTTCCACGTTCCCTTTGCTGTCTCCTCCGCCGCCCCCGTGTAGTGAGTCCTCGAAGGACCCAAACTTCCGTCCGTGGAACCCAACATCCTCCTCCGTTTCCGTTTGCTCCTCAGACCGTTGGTCGACGACTTGAAGATTTGTCTGCCGCGAGTGTGAAGTGCCAGCAGTCACAGCAGGTACTTCTAGTCGCAATGGAGGTGTGGCGAGGACCTTCCTCTTCTCAAGATTATCCGATGAACCTGCCCCCAACAGCCTGGAGTACGTAATTATCTTCTCAGCAACGTGTGAATGTTGCCGAGAAGTTGAAACCATTTGGCGTCCTTCCCCACAAGACTCCAAAATGCCAGCCAAACCTTGGACCGGAGTGTCGTACGGGACAAGAGGTACTGTGAGCTGATGACCGGCGTCTTCCTTCGGGTACTGACCACTTTCTCTACCCTTTGAACAGGGCAAGGTCGAGGATGACTTTCTTGTCGGCATCCGAAATTCACTTCCACCCACCTTCACTTCAACGGGTTTCATACCGAACGCCCTCTGACCGTACCCCTTGAACAGGGCAAGGTCGAGGATGACTTTCTTGTCGGCATCGACCCAGCCGATGCCCTGCTCATCGTAGACCGAAGTGAGATGGAATTTCCTCAAGTCTCTGTCGTCAACCTTGCCTTTCTCCGTCGTCGCCTTATCGCCCTCGAACCTATGAAACACCCGCGGACGCGTCTACAGGGTCGAGCTCGGATGGCGGCTGGATATACAGCCGCGTCAGCGCCACGGACGCAAATTTACCATATTTTTCCCGAATTAAATAATGGGTAAAAAAAAATAAAATTGGATTGTAGGCAGTGTTACCTGACCGAACGTTCGGGGGCCCCCGGGCTGGCCCCCGAACGTTCGCGTGTTCGGGGTCTCGTTCGGGGGCCCTCCAGGTTCGGCCCTCGCCAAAAAACATTTCGAGGCCTAAAAATAAGTGTTGTTTTATGAGTTCTCTATGATGTAACCTACACGCCTATAAATTTTGAATCCATTCTGCTAAGCCAAAAAAACATTAAAAATCGCCAAAGATGGGGGTGTCAAAACGTGCTCGCCCACTCACTATTTTGTTTTCTTTCACTTTTAACTTTTTGTTTTCACTTTATTTCGGGGCCTAGAACATTTTATTCTTTTTTGAAAAATTTTTAATAAGTAATTGATTATGTAAACTACATATCTGAAAAGTTTCATGGCATTTGGCAATGCCAAAAAAAATTAAAAATCGGCAAAGATGGCGGTGTCGAAAAGGTGCTGGCACACTCACTCATTTTAATTCTCTTTTTGTTTTTTCTTATTTTTATCATAGTGTTTATAGTCTGTATTTGATTCTTAATTCAATTTTGGTAAAGAATTTGGATGTAGTTCCCAGGAAAATGTTGTTAAGTTTATGCTTCTTCATAACATATTTTGTTTTCGAAATTTTTAGAAAAGTTTTTTTTTTTTTTTTTTTTTTTTTTTTGTCCACATTCGGCCCGAATGGCCGAACGCCTTCCGAAGGGGTCCCATACGTTCGGGTGTTCCGCCCGTCCCGAACGCCGGCAACCCTGATTGTAGGGAATTTTAATCCCTACAACCCCATATTTGTTTTTTTGGTAACAGATAAGTTTTTGGAATTATAAAAAATAAAAAACAGAAAAGGAGGAGAAGAGAAATTAAAAAATAAATTTTTAAAAAAGTTTTTTTTTTGGGGGGG